CTTGGGGCCTCTTGGGCCGTTATGGTTGCTGTCTTGGGGGTCCCTGGTGCCTTCTTGGAGCGACGGAAGCTTGAACAGGGGGTAGCTTGAAACACATCGAACAACACAATCACATTCATAGACTTTTGCCCATTTGGGCCCTCGTAGAGATCCTCTTGGAACGCTCTCGGGGCTTTTTAGGGGCCTTTCAGGCGGTCTTGGGGGCATATGGGGCCATCTTGGCGACCTTGGTGACTTCCCAGGTTCATCTTGGAAGCCATCTTGGGGATTTTGGACGCCTTGGAGACCGCCAGGGACGTGTCTGGACGCCGACAGAGCCTCGGGACGAGGGGGCGGTGCGCGCGACGAGGTGCGGCAGAGAGGGGGGTCCCTTAGAAGATCACGAAGCCTCATCACCAGACAGCTTTTGGTATTCTAGCAGACCTCAACGTGCCAGGGGGCACGCTGGCGGATTGTAGATTGAACAAGGTTTGCTTTTGTTGAGAAGTTAAAAAAGAAATTGAGAAACAACTTATCCTGGTGAAGGACCCAACCAGCTGAAGTTGTGGGTACCGCAATTGTGAATATCTTCTTCGGTGAAGCTCCCTATGGGGCCACAAAGCGCTGCGCTGGGCGGGGGGGGGAACGCATGCGGGTGGTAGCACTGGGGCCGTCGGTGAAGCTCCCTATGAGGCCACGAAGCGCTGTACTGGGTGGGTGAAGATACCAAATTGGGCGTGGGGGACGCATGCGGGCGGTCCCATCGGGGGCTTCGGTGGAGCTCCCCATGGGGCCGCGAAGCGTTGTAAAGGGTGGGTGAACATGCCAAATTGGGTGTGGGGGGCGCATGCGGGCGGCCCCACTGGGCTTCGGTGGGGCTCCCGATGGGGCCACGAAGCGCTGTACTGGGTCTGTGGAAATGTCAAATTTGGTATGGGGGACGCATGCAGGCGGTCCCATTGGAGGCTTCGGTGGAGCTCCCTATGGGGCCACGGAGCGCTGTACTGGGCGGGTGACAATGACAGATCGGGTGTGGGGGGCGCATGCGGACGGTCCCACTGGGGGCTTCGGTGGGGGTCCGTATGGGGCCACGAGGCGCTGTACTGGGTGGGTGAAAATGCCAACGCATTCGGGCGGTCCCACTGGGGGCTTCGTTGGGGCTCCCGATTGGGCCACGAAGCGCTGTATTGGGTGGGTGAACATGCAAAATTGGGTGTTGGGAACGCATGCGGGCGGTCCCACTGGGGGCTTCGGCGGAGCTCCCTACGGGGTCACGAAGCGCTGTACCGGGTGAGTGAGCATGCCAAATTGGGCGTGGGGGACGCATGTGGGCGGTCCCATTGTGGGCTTCGGTGGAGCTCCGAAACGCTGTGCTGGGTGGGTGGAAATGCCAAATTGGGTGTGGGGGACGCATGCGGGCGGTCCCACTGGGGGCCTCGGTGGGGCTCCCTATTGGCTGTACTGGGTGGGTGAACGTGCAAAATGTGATGTGGGGGACGCATGCGGGCGGCCCCACTGTGGGCTTCGGTGGAGCTCCATACGGGGTCACGAAGCGTTGTACTGCGTGGGTGAAACTGCCAAATTGGGCGTGGGGGACGCATGCGGACGGTCCCACTGGGGGCTTCGGTGGAGCTCCATACGGGGTCACGAAGCGTTGTACTGCGTGGGTGGAAATACTAAATTGGGCGTGGGGGACGCATGCGGGCGGTCCCACTGGGGGCTTCGGTGGGGCTCCCTGTTGGGCCACGAAGCGCTGTACTGGGTGGGTGAACATGCAAAATTGGGTGTGGGGAACGCATGCGGGCGGTCCCACTGGGGGCTTCGGTGGAGCTCCCTACGGGGTCACGAAGCGCTGTACTGGGTGGGTGAAAATGCCAAATTGGGTGTGGGGGACGCATGCAGGCGGTCCCTCTGGGGGGCTTCGGTGGAGCTCCCTGTGGGGTCACGAATCGCAGTGCTTGGTGGGTTAAGCGCATGGAAGAAGGAGGAGGGACGGGGAGGAGGGGGAGGAGGAGGAGCAGAGGAAAGGAACGCGAGGACCGTCTCTTCAAAACGAGGACCCAACACCGCAGGATGCTTGGGAAATAAAGGAGTGAACTATATACATGAGAAGGAACACATAATGGAAAGAACACGACCAAATCAAATCGAGTAAATTGTCTCCCGCTCGCCTCTCGGGGGCCTCGTGGCGGCATTTTTGGGCCTGGGGGCCTCTGAGGGCCTCTTGGGGGGCACTCGGGTGCTAAGCACCATCTTCGGGGCAAAGGGTTCCAATCGGCAGTTCAGATTCCCCTCTTGTACCTGTGTTAGGGGCCTATGGGTGTCCCTTTTGGGGGGGGCCCTCTTGGGCCGTCTTGAGACCGTCCTGGGGGTATCTTGGGCCGTCTTGGAGAGTCAGAAGCCCGAAAAGGTGGTATCTCTAAAATTGTTCAAATCCAATGCAAAACCATTATAATTGAGCCTCCGCGGGCCCTGGTGGAGTTTTCTTGGACCGTCTTGGGGATATTTTGAGGCCTGTCGGGGGCCGCCTTTGGAGCATGTTGGGGCCTGCCGCCCATGGGACCCGACGACTGAGCCCTCTTGGAGCTCCTTTGGGGTCCGATGGGGCGCTCCTGGAGCGCCCTGGAAGGCCCTAACCTTCGCCCCCGGGAGGTCCAGCATTCTTGGCGGGTGTCTCCCGGAGTACCCTTCGCTCGGGGACACCCAGGGGCCTGCCCTCGCGCGCGAGCTAGAAGCACTCTCAACCTGTGACCCGAGATCTCAGCACGCCTCTGGCTCGTGGGGCCGGCGACGCCCGTCTTTTCTGTGCTTCGCAGCGCTCCTCAGTGCATCTTGTAGGCGCCTCTCGTGCTATTCTTCCTCATCCCCCTTATCCTTCGTCCTTCCCCTCCCTCCCCCCCCCTCCTTCCGTGGCCTCCGCCCACTTGGGTAGGGGTGCGAGGGCCGACCATCCCTCGGGGTCCCCCCAGCCTCCCGAGAGCGTCCCCCCGGCGCCCCAGGTCGCCGATGGGCCTCCTCGGTCCTCGGGAGGAGGTGGCGACCCCCCCTGGTGGTGATCCCCCCCTTCGCACTGCCGAAGGAGGGGGCAGCGCCGCGAGTGGCGGCCTCTGAGAAGGCAGGGGGGTACTTCAGAAGGGCCCAGCGCGTCGAAAACCATACGCCCCGCGCCCTTCGTCCTGTCCTCGTACGTGCACCGCCATGCTCTGGTGTCACCACGGACGCAGCAAGCTACAGTTGCCCGACCTACGCAGTGGCGGTTCAGATTGATGGGGCCGTGCCTGGGCAGCCTTGCGGGGCCTGCGGGACTCGAGCACAAATTGAGAGAAACCCGTCGCGTGGGTCGCGGGTGGGCTTCGGGTGGATCGTTGGAAGGGTCGTGGGGTGGGTCGCGGGGGGGTCGTGGGGGTGCGGTCATGACCACAACAGTAACAATGCAGCACACCCCAACAATAATCGGCACCCTGGAACCCCGCTTCAGCCACGCACCCAGGGACAGCGTGAGACAGATCGGCGCACTCTCTCTGAGACACCGGCAGCCAGAGCTAGCAAAGGTGATGTTGAAAGCGTGCAAAGGTAGAGGTTGAGTTCTGCTGCCTGCTGCTGAAGTGAGAGGTTTGGCCGAGGCCGAGGCCGCCGTTTCTGGAGGAGAAGGATGATGACGATGATGATGATGATGATGATGATGATGATGATGATGATGATGATGATGATGATGATGCTGATGATGATGATGATGATGGTGATAAAGAAATGATGGTGATGATGGTGATGATGATGTTGTTGTTGTTGATGCTGTTGTTGATGCTGATGCTGATGCTGATGGTGCTGATGCTGATGCTGATGGTGCTGATGATGATGATGATGATGATGCTGCTGATGATGATGATGATGATACTGATGATGATGTTGCTGATGTTGCTGACGATGATGTTGCTGATGTTGCTGACGATGATGATGAAAATGATGATGATGATGATGTTGCTGACGATGATGATGATGATGATGATGATGATGATGATGATGATGATGATGATGATGATGCTGATGAGAATGCTGCTGATGCTGATGAGAATGGTGATGCTGTTGATGCTGCGGATGATGATGATGATGATGATGATGATGATGGTGATGATGATGATGAAGATGAATGATGAAGATGATGAAGATGAAATGATGATGACATGATGATGATGATGATGATGATGATGATGATGATGATGATGATGATGATGATGATGATGATGATGAGGATGATGATGAGATGAGGATGAGGATGAGGATGGATGAGGATGAGGATGATGAGGATGATGGTGATGATGGTGATGATGATTATGAGGAGGAGGAGGAGGAGGAGGAGGAGGAGGAGGAGGAGGATAAGGAGGGCCACCTGAAGAGATCACCGTCCCCAATCAGGGTGCAAACCTCGCCACCGGAGGCGTTCCAGAAAGGGCCTCGCCCTCGAGGATCGAAGTAGTTGGCACCTCTTCCGCGGCGAAAGGCCGGCGGAAGGGCGGCAAACGCCCGTGGAGGTAAGAGGAGGCCAGCACCGCCCGCGGAAGGCGGCGGAAGTCTGGCTGAAGCCGCCGGGAGTAAGACATGTGTACCCCGAGATCGCCGCTGCGGCGTAAGCCGCCGCTGATGCGCCCCCGAGAGATCCAGAACTCGCCACGTTGTACCTCACGTAAGGTGTTTTTGGCGAGACGGCCTGGGACTATCAAACACGTCCAGACACCGAGCCTCGAGCCTCGAGCCTCAAGCGTCCCACATCGGACCTCGACCGTTTCGCCGTACTCAACGCTGTCCACTCTGCTCTGCCCTCGCCTTGCAGGTGGCCACACGCCGGCATCTGTCCGCTCGGGCCTTGCAGATTCCCCAGGGGTAGCTTTTCATCCCGGGTCCTTTTCTGACGGTCCCGCGACCAGGAAAACGGCCTCAAAAGGCTCAAAGCGACGGAACACCGAAGGCGACGAATTCACACAGATCGACTCTTAAAGTTGCATTGCGTCTCCACGGCAGTGCAGGATCCCGCGGGTTCGGCGAGTTCATCTCCAAGCTGCTCTGGATCGCTTGGGACGAGGACCCCGCCGACCGCCGCCGCGGGGCCAGTCGCGGCCTAGCCGGCCCTGTGTGGCTTGCGCCGCACCCCAAACCCGCTCAAATTTAGGGTCGGGGGGTACACGGGTTCCACCGTGTTTCCCGATGTCCCAGAACGCCCCCCCACTGGACACTGGCAGGCCCAACGGCGACTTCGGGTTGGGTTGGGGTGGCTTCGTGGACAGTCAGAAGTTGCCCACACCGCTACCCGCCGCTACCCTTCCCTCGTTTTCTCAATTTTGGGCGTCCTGGAGGTCCCTCGTCGCCACAGCTGGATTCGCTGCGAAATTCTGCTCAGGACTTGCCCTGGGAGAGGTCTGGGGTCTAGCGCTGTTGGTACCCTCGGTTTCCCTATACACACCACGTCGTTTGGTCGGTCAAGGAGGCAATGTGTTCGGCGAAGGAATTCGGTGTGTAGACGCTCCGGCGCCCCACTGGTTGGGAAGCTGCAGCGTCTGTACACCGAGCTCGTTGACCGACCAGACGATTTGGTGTAGACCTTGAGCCCATCCCGGCTCCCACGAGCTTCACTCGTAAAGCGGGAAAGCGCCAGTTCAGTTCGGTTCGTTTAGGTTCCGAAGCGCCTCCGCTTCGGTTCGGTTCGGTGTCGTAATCTTCCGTTTCGGTTCGGTTCGGTTCGGTACGTTTATATTTTGTTTCCGGTTCGCCCAAGGGGGCCCCAAACCCCAAAGGGGCCCCGAAGGGGCCCCAAAGGCGCCCGAAACCCCAAATGGGCCCCGAAGGGCCCCCCAAGGGGGGGCCCCAAACCCCAAAGGGGCCCCAAACCCCAAAGAGCCCCAAAGCCCGAAGGGGTCCCAGGGGCCTCCAAGCCCCAAAGATGCTCCAAAGGGGCCCCAAAGGGGTCCAAAACCCCAAAGGGGCAAGGGGCCCCAAACCCTCAAATGGGCCCCGAAGGGGCCCCAAAGGCGCCCGAAACCCCAAATGGGCCCCGAAGGGGCCCCAAAGGCGCCCGAAACCCCAAATGGGCCCCGAAGGGGGCCCCAAGGGGGGGGCCCAAACCCCAAAGGGGCCCCAAACCCCACAGAGCCCCAAAGCCCGAAGGGGCCCCAGAGGGCCCCCAACCCTTAAAGATGCTCCAAAGCGGCCCCAAAGGGGCCCCAAACCCCAAAGGGGCCCCAAAGGAGGGTCTGTCGGGGTGGCTGCAGCAGACTGCTGGTGGGTCGTTTCCGGTTCGGTCCGGTTCGGTTCGGTTCGGTCTGGTTCGGTCCGGTTCGGCGCGTGGAGGTTCGGCCCGGTTCGGAGTACCGGTTCGGTTCGGTTCGGTTCGGTGTTTCCGGTTCGGTTCGGTTCGGTTCCCATGGACAAAGAACACCGGTTTGCGCCGGTTCGGTTCGGCCCGGTTCGGTTCGGCCGGTTCGGTTCGGTTCCGGTCCTTCCCTGGTAAAGGCCGTTAGAATTTGCAGCAGGCTTTTGATGCGAGTGTCTTCGGCGGGAAGCGATTGCCAGCCCCGTGTCTTCCCCCCCTCCTCCCCTCCCCGCACGGCCACGTGCTCGCCCACGAGGTCCAAGTGGTCATCCCTTCTGGGCGCGCCCCTTCCTCCCTTCTGGCCGCCCGGTCCCGCGCAGAAGCGGGACCGGTCGGGCACTGCCTTCGCAATCGTTCCTCGGACGGCCTGAGGCGGCATCGGCGCTGCTTGGCTTCCGCGGTGTGGGGGGCGACACTGATCAGAGGGGATGTCAGGGGCAACGCTTCGGGGTGAAGATTGGCTCAGTGGGGAATGCGTCGACCCCCGATCGCCCATCGATCGCCAATGGGGCCCGATAGCCCACTCCCCCGGGAACGTGCGGTTCTCCTATCGGGGGTCTATCGCGGGTTCATCACTGATGCATCACCCGTTCCAGTTCGATGTTTAGCCCCCTGGGCCGGTTCAGTACAGTCAAGTCGCATAGTAAGGATGAGAACCTTTCCAAGGCTACCCTTGCATCCTTGCCCCTTCGGCCCATCCTTGGCAATTTTAGCTGGCCAGCCCCGTTCGAAAAACGTCAGCATGACCTTTCAAGGTCCTTGCATCCCCACCGCGCATCCTGATTATGCGAGTTGTCTGTATCATCGATGCATCACCGATTCCAGTTCGATGTTTGGCACCCTGGGCCTAGTAGCTTTCCCCTAATCCTCCTCCCCAGCGCCATCGATCATGGATCCTTCTTGTCCGCGGTTGCCCCTCCTCTCATCCTCCTCGCCCTCGATCTCTTCGATCCTCTTCCTCTTCCTCGATCCTACATGCGCATCGTTCCCCTCGTCCCCCTCGTCCTCCTCGACCTCGCCCCCCGTCGTCCTCCTCGGTGCTGCTCCTCAACCTTCTCCGTCTCGCCCCCGCGTTCATATCCTTTTTCCCCCCCGCACAACTCCTCCCTGTCGCACCCCCAGGCGTGTCGGTAGGGCAGGCTGGGCGTCTCGCCTGAGGCTTCACCACCGCTCATGATCCCGAAGCTTGAAGTTTGCAGCAGAAAAAAAAATCGAGGGGGAAAAGGTACCCACCTCTACCCTTCCCTCGTTTTCCCCTTTTGGGCCTCCTGGGCGGCCTTCGTCGCCACCGCTGGATTCGCCTCGAAATCCGGATCAGCACGCACCCCGGGAGAGGTCGGGGGAGTAGCGGTGTCGGCACGTTTTGGTTTTCCCCAAGTGGGTCTCGTTCTTGCGCCGCGCACATTCGTTCGGCATGTCTGCAGCAGTTTCAGGGGTGGAGGGCGGGCCGTTATCGAAATGTGGCTCGCGCCTTGGCGCCGCGCATATTCGTTGTACAAGTTTGCAGCAGTTTGATGGGTGGAGGGCGGGCCGTTTTCAAAATGTGGTTATCGCCTTAGCGCCCCGCACTTGCATCAGTTTCAAGGGCGGAGGGCGGTTCTTTTTCAAAATGTGGCTCTCGCCTTTGCTCTGGGCACATTCGTCTCGACAAGTTGCAACAGCTTCAAGGATTGTTATAGTTGAAGTCCTAGCAGCGTCTTCTGGCACGATTTAGGATTGCCAGGGCGCAACAGGCACGTTGATTCGCGGCGCTGAAGTCCCAGAAATGGTGATTTGGTATGATGGAGGATGTTCAGACGGTTGATATTCAGGATACAGCACAGCGACGAGGTGTGGTGGTCATAGTTTTTCGCCGAGCAAGCTTAACGTCCCAGGGCTACCAAACTCAGAAAACTGGATATGGACAGATATGGACTTTCTCGCGCTGGCAGGTCTCTGGCTCGGGTCCTCTGGTCGTTCGGCTGGGCAGGTCTCTGGCAACGAAGAGGACGGACTGGTTCCAGAATGTTCTGGCGAAGGGCCGCCGGACCGTTCTGAGCACACCTTCTGGCGGAGCATTGTATCTTCCCGCTTGGAGTTGAAGTGGTGCATTCATGGCGCTGCACGCTCCCAGGGTGCCTGGATCGTCCTTCGTGGTGTGGCTTCGCCGTGAACTTTCTCGGGGTCCCGTGATCGTTCCTTGAGCTGTGGCCTCGCTGTCAGCATTTTGGGCATACGACATCTCTGTGTTTCGCATTTTCTCAGTCTGGGGCAGATGCCCTCACGAGGCGTGCAGATCTGTCCACCGAGCATCGTTGCTCCAACGTGCGAGAGACCGACCGCGGCCATCCTGGCTCGAGGGCGATCTGATTTTTAGGCAAACGCAATCGGGTATCGCGAGCCCATCAGACTCGAATCTTTTGCCCTGCCGCCGGTGGCCTATTGCAAACATATAGGCTAGACGGGGGGGGAGGCTGGGCGGGATCAAACGAACCGCCAGGCAACCAGTCCCCAGGGTTGCTTGGAGGCGGTCGGAAATTGTGATGGGCCACAATGAAGCCACATTATGGTACGGACCTGGGTTGAGGGAACTTGGAGGGAGGGTTTATTGCAACATCGTTGCTCCGTCTTGGGTTTGCACTGGTCCTCGGTCCTCCTCCTCGCCCTCCTCGCCCTCGTCCCCTCGTCCTCCTCGGTCCCCCTCGTCCTCGATCCTCGTCTTCCTCCCCCTCGTCCTCCTCTGCCTCGACCCTGACAGCAGGGCGGGCGGTGGCGCGAGCGCCCCTCCCCGCCCAGGGGACGCAGCGCGCCTTCCTGACGGGCGGCGGCAGCACCTCGCCGGCGCGCGCCTCAGCCCTGCGGGCAGAGAGAGGGGCTTGTCGCCGGGGGGCCGCGGTCGCTCGACCCATCGGAGCGCCCGAGGGTGCCCCCCTCCTCTCCCTTCTCCTCCCGGCGCCTCCCTCCTGTCGCTCCTCCTCTTCCTTCTCCTTCCCTCCTCCTCTTCCTCCTCCTCTCTCCTCCTCCTCCTCTTTTTCCTTCCTTCCTCCTCGCTCCTCCTTCCTCCTCTTCCTTCTCCTTCCCTCCAGCCGCCGCTTCTGCTCATGCCTCCTTTTCAGCGGCCAAGCAGGTTCCCCGCGCAGAGCAGCTCCGCCCGCCGAGGGCGCCTTCCATGTCATGCCAGCCTGGCTGGCCTCCATATTCTTCATGATGATCTGGATCGTTATGCCGTTTCCTCCGCTGGGGAGTATATAATCCACTTTCGATGCTGGCACCGCATCGCTGCCCCGAGATCAGCCACGCCTTCAGCGCCGTGGACGCGATGATGTTCCCAGCTACGCGGTGGCGACAACATGATGCCAGCTCCGAGGTCGACCAGCTCAAGACTCTCAACCACACCGTCTACACGTGGAGCTATGGCCGCGGACTTCTCACCAACAGCCATGCTGGCGCCGCGATCATGGTGAGCACCAAGAGGTTCGGTCCGAGCGCCGCCGTCGATAACAAGAGCCCGCCCAAGCAGATTCAAGGCCGCGCTGGCGCACTACGCATCAGGCGGGGCGAGCTCGACCTCGCCTTCATCGTGGCCTACGTCCCGCCTCGATCGGGGTTTGCGGCCAACCACAACTAGTGGGTCAAAACGGTCAATGAGACGCTCAAGCGGATCCACAGGACGCTTCAGGACACACAGACGCACAGCACACCGCTGATCGGTATCGACCTCAATGATCATTACGGAGCTGACGGACTCATTGCGGCTGAAGTTAATGAAGTTTATGGAGACTCGCAACCACACGGACGGCCAGGTGAAGCAGCGGCCGCCTTCTGTAACATGCTGGACGTACACGGACTATTCCTTGCCAGTACCTTCTGGAATGATGGCCCAGTGCAGAAGGACAAGCCACGAGACCCGACTACCTCGTTGTTCCTCAAGGGCTACTGCAGAATCTTCAGACATGCGGTATTTGGTGGAAGCCAGCTAAAGCAGTTCAGCAGATCAAGGACAACGTGCCAAGGGACCACGTGCCACTCATCGCCAGCGCCGAGATCGGCATGCCCAACAACTTCACAGACATGCACCGTACGCTCTGGGATTTCGACAATGCCTGAGTCTCTGCAGACTGGAGCTTATCGCGGCGAGTTCATCCCAGCCCTAGAGACCGCGCTGGCGAACAACACAGATACCATTCGTGAGCTCAAGGAGCAGTGCACCACAGACGCGCGCTGGCATTTCCTGATCGACGCGCTCAAGGCCACTGCCAAGCCCTTCTTGGACCGGAAACGTAAAAAGCCAGGTGCCAACAAGCAGCTCAAGGCCGAGAAGCTCGAACTTTTGAAAAAAAAGAGCGGAGCTACGCGCAAGCAGTACAATGGCGAAGCGATCGACCTGGACATTGAGGAGAAGCTGGACATACTCACGATAGCTATTAAGAAGCAGAAGCAACTTCACGACGCAGAACGCAAGATAACGTTAGAGACAGATTTTTGAGGCATGGCAAAAAAAAGGCAGCACGCATAAATACATAGACTCAGCAGGTGATTGGCAGGCACCAATTACGGCAAGTGGAACCGCAACTACAGCAGGGCGACCCGTTCGAGACCGAGCCTCGCCGAGTGGACTACGCACGTGGCGCTCGCAGGAGCTCGCGGAGGTTTTCAGGCTCAACCCATTGACTACGAGGAAGAGAAACAAAAGCTGCCCCTGACCGCCATGGAGGGCCTGGGCGACGATGTCAAGCAGCAGATCAAGTACGAGTATTACGAGGCGAAGGAGAAATTGGGTAAGCTATACCTCGGAGTCAAGAGGCGCCTCAAATACTTACAAACAAGCGAGCTTCAGTTCCCGAGGTGTCGTTACCAGCAGAAACTGCCCAGATCATCCTGCAGCCTACAGTTATTCCAAAGAGAAAGCCGCAGACCCAAGGCCTCGGTTTCAACGAGGAGCTGATGGGGGCGCCCTGGACAGACTAATGTTTCGAAGGGCTACTCGATCAGGTCTATCGGGCCGGCTTAGCTCCATTGGGCGCTCATCGCAGCCAAAGTTTCACGCTGGGCAAGATGAACTCCAAACCCTCAGTTCAAGGATTGCGTATATTGCACATGCTCTGTCCATTCTGGCGCTGCGTGTACCGTCAATTACAATGCCAGTCACTGCCGCGGGCACCTCCTCCTCGCGCTCACGGATGCTGGCCGCGCCGCCGCAGAGGTCCAATGGCTGCATCGCGCGTCATGGCCGCCAGATTGCAGCGCTCCAACATCGATTTCATCGTTGGCAGCAAGGGCGCCACCAACGCCTTCCCGAGCACGGTGATCGACAAAGCGGCCGAGATTATCCCTCAGTGCTTGGCAGACACAGAACCGCGGTTGTTTGCCCAACGGCATCGCTGCTCTACGGTGCAGATAGACGGATGCGACAAGTCTGGAAATTTTCCTCTAGGTTCAGGGGTGCTGCCTGGCTGCAGCACGGGACCCACCTCATTCAACTTTGTCTACGAGCAGCCAACCGACCAGTTGCACGACGCGACCCCGTCAGACTCCAAGCCGTTCGCTACCACCTCACACGTCGCGCGCAACATGATGACCTCTCGGCCTACCTTTGCGTTGACGACATATTCAAAATACACATTGTCAGCAAAGGTACAGCCAAAGCAGCCGCAGACATCCTCAACTCCAGCAGCGCCATCCTCGATGACAAGCTCGCGCGGCACGGTTACTCGCAGAACAAAGACAAGGGGGAAATTGTTGGAGGCCTTCGCACACGTAAAGAAAATAAGTACTTCGGAGGTCACTTCCATCATGGAGGAGGTAACACGGTAGAGATCGACCGCCGCATTCAGCCTGGGCTATCATGGGCAAGTTCTGGCACAGGCGTGCCCCATGGCGGCTCAAGCGCATCATCTTCATCAACCGCATAGTGGGCGCCGCGGGCAGCGGCATGGAGTTTCACCTCATCAAGGACACCGAGCTGCGCAGGTTGGACACCACAATCATCAAGTACCTCAGGGTGTTCATGCATGGCAGGGCTACTACGCAGCAGGACGACGGACGCTACAAGAGCATGACCAACATAGGAGTGTTCAAGTTCCGCGGCATCTCCCCCATGTTCGTCGAGATGCGTGCAAGGCGCATTCGTATGACCCAGGCCTCTGTCAAGTACCGCGCCGACTACGACCAGTGGATCACTGCCCTCTTCGGCGCACCGCAGTTCGAGAAGGACATCGATCCTGATGCAAGCGAGCTCAACGACGACGGCACTCTCAAGGACAGCGCCAACCAATGGGCTTGGCAATTCTTTCACGATGTGAGCTCGCTCTTGGCACTCGACAGCGCAGAGCAATTCTGCTACATCTGGGGCGGCAGCGCTACTCAGCTTTATCACGACGCAGAGGTTTCAGACGCATTTCTCAGCATTGACCCCTCCGAGTTCAGGGCCAAGGCTACAGCCGTCGCTATCCCACCACCCGCCCGGCTATGTGGCCGCTGCTGAAGTATGGGGCGGCGACGAACTTGGGCAATTCAAATGCGAGATGTTGACGGACACAGGTGACATCTGTGGGCGTGTATTTCAAACGTGGGCGGGTCTCTGTTCGCATCAGACAGCTACCAGAGGTGGTCGGCGCGGGTTGCGTTCAGCAGCCGCTGCAGTTACAGTCACTAATCAGTGTCCGCTGTGCCGCACGACCTTCTTGGACCGTGCTCAAGGCGAAGATCATCTGCTGCGCTCACTAAAGAACAAGATATGCCTCGCTGACAACGCACGCCTACACCATCCGTTGATCGACGTCGACGCTTACGCATGCCCGCTCTGTCCCGAACTGCAGCCGCTTCAGCATCTACCAGCCTTGCAGGACTTTTTTTGTGCATTACACCTACTGGTCGAAGAACATATCACCTCACTGGGCGTGGGGGCCACCCCTGCTCAGCTAGCACTTGCTCATGCCGGTGACCTGGCTTGTGCCCAGCAAAGAACAGATCGCGCAGGGCGCCAGCAGCCTCGCGGGCTCAGAGCGCAGCCAGAAGGACCGCGAGCTCATCAACGGCAAGAAGGGCGGCAAGGGCGGGGGCGGCCAAGGACAAGGGGGGCGCGGGCGAGGACGCAGCGGGCATGGAGGCCGAGGGCGATCCAATTACGGGGGGGGGGGGGGGGGCAGCCATGGCAGCAGTTCCAGGGGCCCGATCAGTTCGTTCCAAGAAAGGGCCAAAGTTGACCCCAAGCTCAAGAAGCTCCTCACAGTACTCATCAAGCAAGTTCTCGCCGACGCGCAGCAGCTGGCTTGGATGGTGGCAGCGGTGTTCAGCACGTACCTCTTGCCCATTCAGAACAACGCGGTCAAGGCCCTCAAGACCAGCCGCAAACTCTACGCGGAGAAGTGCAGGGAACAGGACAAAGGACGCGCTTTAGGGCCACCAGAAGGGGCATCTCTACATGGCACTTATTATGACCCTCTGTTCAGAGGACGTGGGGGGCAAATCGAGGGCGCTACTCGCGGAGCACAGCCAGTTCCTGGACAAGATCAGCGCAGCGACGGCACTACTCAAAGTCAAACACATCAAACTCAGCAAGTGCTCCGACTCCAACCAAGCGAAGCTCACGCTGTACATCGATCAGGGCCCCTGGGCGGACGCGGAGAACGAGGAGGATCCGACGCAGGAGCAGATGCAGTGGGCCAACATCAGGGATACCATCCACCGAGCACTACTTCAGATTGGAGCAGTGGTCAAAGGGGGCAAGGCACCAGCGGGAGTCATGGAGGATGAGCTGGCTGCCTGGCTCGCAGGACCATGAATTACTATGGAGGCCGACTATCTACGCCATGGTCGGTATCAAGCTCGGCGTGCGCGAC